GAAATCTATTCTTAGACCATTTATGCTACAAGAGTTTCTATCTCCATATCTTTTCAATCTATATGCGGAACAGATTATTCGGGAGGCTGGGCTCTATGAGAAGTGTGGCATCAGGATTGGAGGAAGACTCACCAACAACCTGCATTATGCAGATGACATATCCCTGCTTGCTGAAATTGAGGAGGATCTGAAGCACTTGCTGCAGAAGGTCAAAGATTGCAACCTTCAATATGGATTGAAGCTCAACATCAAGAAAACAAAGATTCTTACCACTGGGCCGATTGGCAGCATCATGATAGATGATGAAGACTGAGATAGTTAACAGCTTCAGTTTGCTTGGCTCTACAATCAATATTCTTGGTATCAGCAGCCAGGAAATGAAAAGAATTGCATTGGGAAAGTCTGCTGTCAGAGACCTCTCCAAAGTACTGAAGAGCAACGATGTCAGTCTGGAGACTAAGTGCGCCTGATAGTGGCCATGTTCTTTGTAATAACTTGCTATATGTCAGAAAGCTGGACATTGACTAGGGATGATAGAAGGAGAGTTGATGCTTTTGAGCTGTGGTGCTGGAGAAAAGTATTGCATATACCATGGACTGCAAGGAGAACAAACAAGTTCATCCTGGAGAGGGTGAAGTCAGGCTGCTCCTTGGAGGCACAGATTCTGAAGCTTTGTCTGACATACTTTGGACAGGTTGCAAGGGCAGGATCAGTCCTTGGAAAGAAATGTCATGCTTGGGAGGGTGGAGGGACTCTGCAGGAGAAGAAGATCCTCGATGAGATGGATTAATTCAGTGACTGGGCTAATGGGGATAGGTGTGTCAGAGACAGTAAGATTGGCAAGGGATAGAGCAGGGTTTAGGGCTCTTGTACATAGGGTCGCTATGAGTCACAGGTGACTCAACAGCACATAACAACAACATACTTAGACCAAGAAACTATTGTCTGAACAGAGCAAGAGAACATTGCATGTTTTAAAATAAGGAAAAGAGGGAGCTCTGTAGCCTACTAGTAAGAAGCTGTTCTGCAATCTCAAAGGCACGAGGTTCAAATCCACCAGATGCTCTGCTGGAGAAGGAGGGCAATCTCCTGTTGTGCCAGTTGAATCCAATTTGGTGGCACATAACAAGTAAAAAAAAAATAAATAAAAAATAAAATATAAGGAAAGTTCTGCGTCAGGGTTCCTTCTCCATATTTGTTCAATCTGTACACTAAGCAAATGATCGAAGAAGCTGGACTTTATGAAGAAAAATGTGGCATCAAAATTGGAGGAAGATTCTTCAACAACCTATGTTATGAGATGACACAATGTTGCTTGCTGAAAGCAAGGAGGACTTGAGGCACTTACCGCAGAGGATCAAGGACTGCAGCCTTCAATATTACATTTCAACAACAAGAAAGCAAAAATCCTTACCACTGGGCTAACAGGCAACATCATGACAGACAGACTTGTCAACAATTTCATCTTGCTTGGATCCATAATTAATACCCTTGGTACCAGTAGTCAGATCAGGAGATGTATTGCATTGGGAAAATCTGCTGTCAGGGAACTTTCCAAAGTCCCAAAGAGCAATGACGTCAGTTTAAAGACTAAGATGCGCCTCATTCAAGCCATGGTTTTTCCAATCACCTGCTGTGCAACTGATAGCTAGACAATGACTAAGGATGACAGAACTGATGAACAAACCAATATGCCTTGGAGGCAAGGATGGCGAAGCTCTGTCTCACATACTTTGGGCATGTTGTTAAGAGAGGCTATTACTTGGAGAGGGACATCATACTTGGGAAGGTGGAGAGTCAATAGAAGAGAGGAAAACCCTCAGTGAAATAGATTGATATAGTCCATGCCACAGTAGGCTAAAGTGTGTCAGAAGAATAAGGATGGCATAGGATGGGGCAGGGTTCAGATCTATTGTTCACAGGGTCACCACAAGTCGTACTTGACTTGACAGCACTTAACAATAACCACCTAGGTTTTTTACCAAGAACAGGGAACCCCTCTTTGCTCCTGGCAGCAAAATAAATGGACTCTGATTTGTTCTTTGTTCTCTGCTCAAGACACAAATTCTTGGTAGAAGGTGTGTAACTGGTCTATCTTGAGACATGAGCCTGACCTTTGGTTAAGAGAGGACAGTTCCCTACTCAACTATATTGCATAGGGAAATGACTGCACAAACCCCCAGAGCTCTTCAGTTCTGAAGAGCAGCCAAAAAAATGAATAATCACAGAACCCTCTAACACAATCATCTTTGAAACAGGTGTTGGAAGGTGGTTTTATAATTCACAAAAAACCAAGACACATAGCTAATTAGTGCTCAATAGTACTGGCTCCTCTATTAAAACTTTAAGGGGTACCTTACCAAAATACATGCTTCAAGCTATGACTCAACAATATAAAGTAGCACTTGAGTTATAAGTTTGTCTGATATTCTTTTACATATCTGTCCTTGGAGCATACTTCGGGAGAAGTAGTCCTAGATCTGATTATTTCTGGGCAGAGCCTGGCCAGGTCACCAATACTAATCCTTACATGTACAGCTCCTAAAATGAGGCCACTGTCTGCTGAGAGCACAGACTAACACATTCAGAATGTCATCAGGGTGGGTAGAGAGAAAAGTCTAACAAAGAATGATGAGAAACCCTATATCTCTGTAAACTTTCATTAAAATTAATTAAAAAAAAGAATGTTATCAAATGAAAACTGAATATCTAGGTAGCCTACAACAGGCTCTTGGCAAAAGAAACACAATATTCTTATTGCAGAACTGACCCCAATTCAGCTTCTTGATGTAGACAAATGTTTAAATCTGTAACTAGTAGGATCATTGGTAGTGGGTGGGTAGGCAGGGTTTCTTCCTTCTCCCTTCTCCTATTTTACAAAGTCAGCTTAAGTAGCTCTCTAAGAGCCGGATGCTGAGGTTCATTCCACTGGATGTGCTGAATTTGTGTAATTAGGCCCCATTTAACAACTACTTCTGCCCAGATCTGTTCCCAGGACTAATCAACACAAAGGAACAGCTGGGCATCTTAAGAAGTAAGCTCTGACCTGGATTTTTTTTTGTCTACAGGGCACCAGTAACACTGGACATGGAATCAGATAAAGTTCTTTTGTCCATTAGAAGGCCTTGAAAGATAGAAAGCTGTGTAGGAGCGGAGTGAGGTCACAGAAAATAGAAAACACTTCCTGAACACCCAGACCCAAAACGAACTGGTTACTTTTTTATGTCATCTTCCACTGATGGTTTCTCATTGCTCAAAGCTCCTCATTGGTTATATTTCATACAGACCATAAAATATAAAACCTCCATAAGATGCCAGCCCCTTCAAGACCAAGCTCATCTCTCTGCAGTCTATCTCCACAGTCTCTAGTTCTACTTTATATTCAAGCCATGCTGAACTTATATCAACTCTCCAAACGGATTAATTCCATTTTGAGCCCTTGTTTTGAATTAGCATTTCTATCTCTAGTATGCTGAGTCAGAATCAACATTCTTATCTATGATTTTCATGTATATGTAAGAATCACCTGAGGATCTTGTGAAACTGCTGATCAATTCTGTAAATCCAGGATGAAGTAGTTTAAAGCCCTGGTTCACAAAGCAAGCCCTGCCCTGCTCTGGCATGGTACAGCTGCACACTCTGCGACTTCAATAGGAACTCGTCTCTTCCTTGCCTTCAGAGTACCCTTCTATTTATTTATAATTTTTTTTTACTGTGATTTTAAGAAAAGTTTAGAGAAAACTTGGATTTTCATTCATTCATTGTTGGAAAATGTGCAGAGCACCCTTTTACAACCTCTCCTTGGGAAGCCTTCTGCTTTTCCCCAGGTCTTCTTGGTTTTTGTTTTTGTTTTGTTGGGGTTTTTTTTTGTTTTTTTTTTGCATTGAAGCAATTATCTCACCATCTTGACGATCCTATGTGCTGTGGAGTTAAAGTTTCACTGGGCTGTGAACTCCCCAGAGCAGGGACTCTCAGTCCTGCCCATCTTGATAACTCACTATATTAACCCATCTGTCTCAGGGGCCTAGCAATGCTTATCTCTGCTAGGTAGTCAGTCATTTGCTGCTAAGTGAATGAACCTCATTTTTCTTTTATCTCTGGTGACTTCTAAACCAAAGAATATTGTATTTGTTGTCTCAGAAACCAAAACCAAAACCAAACCTTGCAGTTGAGTCATTCCAGATCAGATCAACGAAAAGTAGAACTAAGCTATAGGTTTCAAAAGCTATCAGTCTTTACAGAAGACTGTGGCCACTTCATTCCCCATGAAGTAACTGATAGGTTTGAACCACCGACCTTCAGTTTGCCCCTAAGCACTTAACCACGGCACCACCTGTATTCTCAGAAGAGGGAACACATTCAAATACCAAGAACTGCAGTTCCTGGTAAGGCCTTTCAGAAAAATGACGGTTACCAAAAGCAGCAAATGGAAACTCAGCAGAATGCCTGCGTGCTAAAAACAGAGGGAAATGGGCCAACACTTCAAAAGTCATGGGTTAGGTGGGCTGGAGGCAGAAGTGGAGGCAATTTATGGCTGTCTAAAGCTTGAGAATCACAAACAACTTCTTTCTTAAGAATGATTTATATATATAATCACAGTAAGAGATACTCAGTTCAATTTATTTTTTTTTAATTTTTATTTATTTTTTTTATGTGTGTACCGTCAAATTGGATCTGACTGGTATAGGAGGCGATTGTTCCTCCTTCTTCAGCAGAGCATCTGGTGGGTTTGAACCGCGCACCTCTGGGACTGCAGTGCTGTTTCCTGCCACTGGGCCACCAGAGCTCGCCACTCAGTTCAATTTAAATACCACCCAATGTAGGAACCAACTCTCCAACTGTTTCAGTTGGAAAGTCAGATAAGAGAGAGGTAAGGTTGAAGTATCTTTGGAAAATCCATTCTAAAATGAAGTCAGTCACCTGTTGTAGTTAACAGTCCTGCTCCTTGGTTTCCTTCTACGATCAGACATTGTCCCTAACTCCCAAAGGAGTTGTTCTCTTTAGTTCTCCATTAGGGCCTCAGAGTGCTCCGGGCCATGGGGAGGGCTCTTCGACTTAGGCGTAGACAGGTGCTCCAACTCATAGCACCCACTCTTAGACACATTCTTCATGAGGTTTTCATTTTTTTCCTCCTTCTGGCTCCTTTTATACTCAATAATCTGCTGAAGCTGGCGCCCAGCGTATTCTGGCTTGGCAGTGAGTGGTCCAGCTGGCACAGCAACACCAAGAATATCTGACACCATGTACGGACGCAGCCAGCCCACCAAGGGCGTACTTCCTGGGCTGTAGTGAGTCTGCTTGTGGTAGAATAGAAGCCCATCCACCTATAAGAGGAGAAAGTTGGGATTACAATCACTTGTGGGGCCATGTGTTTCAGTGAGAATTCTATATACACCAGACCAGTTCTTGTGGCGTATGTACTCCTTTTTCTGGGTCTCTGTCAGAGGAAAGAGTTCTTCTTTCCCACACATGCAATTCTTCTAAATGAAAAGGAAAAAAAAATGGGCCTGGAAAACAAAATTTTAGAAAAAGAAAAAACAGTACTTTCCTGTTTACAGGGGACTTTAAAGCTCTTGTTTCACCCTCTCACCCAAAAGGAGGGTGTTTTGAGATGGGCTGCTGAGACTCAGAGAGTTTTGAGGGCCTCCCTTAAGACACACAGTGAGTGTGAAGCAGATCACAACTTGAACCCAGGTTTTTCTGTCCTCAGATTCTATATACTTTCTACCACTACAGATCTCTGTATTATGGATGTATTCTTTGCATGACACAAAGCAGGGGGGTTAGGCTAGATAGCTGAGCACAGGGAAAACAAGACTGAGAAACTCTGCTTCTCAAGTCATTTTTGGCTGCCTGAACCTCTCTCTAAATTGTTTGCAAGCTATGTTCTGGGAAGCTCAGTTTTTCTCAACGGGAAGACCTCCTACATCCCACATTTTCTTTTCTGTGATACATGACTCATCTCTAAAAAGCACTTATTGTCACTGGGGCACAAGGGTTATAAATAAATATGGTGTTCTTACCACCTTCTTAATTGAATCCCAGAAATGAATGCAACTTAGTCTTTGCCATTTCCTCATTTGGGAAGCCGTGATTCTTAGAAAAATTATGCCCAGTTCAAACAAGTAACTAAGAGTGATTAGGCAGAATTCTAAAAGGCAGGATCGGCAAAGTAAAAGTTGCTTATGAAGCTTAGGAAGAGCAACTGTAGGTTTGGAGGATGATAAAAAGCTTGTGTCAGAAGGACCATGGCTGAGGGGCATTTGGGGCTTGTGGCACTTTCAGTGCTAAAACTGGGAAAGTCCTAAGCACACGAGTTGGCTGTCCACTCCCATCCCATTGTTCAGCAAGCAGTGCCATCCCCAGGGACTGTTTATTCTTTGGATAAAGGAATGGTTAGGGGTTCACATTTCTGGCTCCTGTCAGATTTTACAACCAGTTGTGGCAGTCATAGAGCCTGGTACATAAAAAGAACATGACACTAGAAGTCGCTGCCCCTTTCTGGGCCTCAGTTTCTCTATCTGTAAAATGCAGGAATTGAGTGATCTGTTTAAGAGGCCCTTTCCTGCTTTGGTATTCTGACTTATTCCAAACCAGTAGGAACACAGCTGGTGCAGAGAGACAGGGTGACAGACCTACCAGGTACAGCTGAAGGACAGTGAGCACATCCTTTCCCAAGAATCAGCTCCCGGCCCTTGTCAAATGCTTCTACAAAGCAGTCAGGGTATCTATCACAAGACTCCATGTAACTAAGTCTCCCATTATCCTACAGTTATCCACATCCAATCAATAAAGACAATGGTTTCATTACCTCAAAAGGAAAATCCATCGACAACACTTTACATAGGCTCTCAGGGGTACATGGGAAATTCTTGAGTCCCACAAATTTAAACTGGAATGTAAATGAGAACAAAATCATTAGTACATGTTACTAACGTTTCTACCCAGTAAAGATTTTTTAAAAAGTTTTATTTTTTTTTAAATTTTATTCTTTTTTGTGTGTACCATCAAATTGGCTCTGACTGGTACAGGAGGAGATTGCCCCTCATTCTCCAGCACAGAATCTGGTGGATTTGAACTGCATACCTATGGGATTTCAGTGAAGCTTCTTCCACTAAGTCAAGAGAGCTCCTTTTCTACCCAGTAAAGATTTTTATTGAACAAGTTTTCAATCTGATGCTGCCTTATCTCTGTCTTCTACTTACTTTCTGAAGTACTGGGTACATAATTCTCAATCTGGCTTAATATATGATCTTTTTTAAAAAAAATAAACTAATTTTTGGTTTTGATGAGGGTATGTTATGGCTAGGAAGTGCTATTGAGTCAGAACTGACTCATTGCTGACCATCCAATGTGTTTTGAGAGGCAGTAAGTTACACAGGAGGAATCTACCTATCTTTTTCTTGGAGGGGAGCTTGTGGATTTGAACTCTGTGCCTTTGAGTTGGCAGCACAAGTCCTTACCACTAGAGACCACCAGAGCTCCCTGAAGAAAATAAAAACAGTCAATATATGTAGTCACAATTCCATTTCCTTCTCCTTATATGTAAACTTTAAAATTGATGTTATCTAGGCCCAATCCCACAGATGAACTTGTCATAGGTGAACCTCAGGTATCTATTTTTAAGCTCTCTGATTTTCCCAGAGTCCTGGTGGTACAATCATTAAGTGCTCAGCTGCTAACAGAAGGGTCAAAGGCTTACACCTGGTAGCAGTGCTACTATGTCCTCCAACAGTAATGATGAATTGAAGTGACACACAATTTAACATACAGTCTGGACTGAGAAGCAATGTACTATTTTTTTTTTATTTTTTTTTCTTTAATTTTTATTGTATTATTTTTACGTGTACCGTCAAATCAGATCTGACTGGTACAGGAGGAGGTTGTCCCCTCCTTCTCCAGCAGAGCATCTGGTGGATTTGAACCACGTACTTCTGGGATTGCAGTGCAGCAATGTACTATTATTATGAGGAGAAATTTATGTTATTCTCCAGGTCTGTGATAGCTACCCCTAAGAAAGTGTTAGTGAAGCCTTTCCATACCAGCAATGATTTTTAGACATATACAGTACAAAAAAATGATAAGGGCCATAAACTCTAGAGTCAGAATCCTTGAATTTGACACTCAACTCCACCAATCATTTACTCTCCACATGACTTTTCCCCACCTATGAAATAGGATTTGAGAAGGTTGTTAAGCAGATTCAACGAGATAATATTGGGTACTATATTATAATTGTACCCAATTATGAACACTTTAGAGAAAGTAGCTTCTCATGTTCTTCTTCTTTAGTTCACATGTACATTTAGTGCCTAATTGATAACATCACCATAAGTACTGACTCCATTTATTCTCTAGGAATTTATTGTTCAGTTGATTTCAGAAAATTTGTATGAATTCCAAGAAAATATCAATCTACTTGGTTTATCCAATGAAATGCCCTGAAAATAGATGTCACATATTTACATTATTGAGCAGATAAGACACCTGGGTTATCATTCTACCCAGTGAGACCTTAGTAAGGAAGTTCCTCCGGAGGTTATATTCTCATTTGTAAAATGAGAAGACAAGATGAGGTTATGCCCAGTTAATATACAAAAGCCATGGATCTCAAAGTGTGGTCCACCCACCTATAGCACCAGCATCATCAGGGAATAAGTTAGAAATGCAAATTTTCAGATTAAATTACAAACTCTATATGGCAAAGCCCAGGAACCTATGTTTTAACAATCTTCTACGTGATGCTTATGCATGTTGAAGTTGGAGAACTACTGTGCTAAAATTATAAATAGCATTATTGTTTAAAAAAAAATTCATTTTGTAGGGGGGGAGGGGTGGGCAGTGAGAAAAGTTCAACAGTGAATGAATGGAAATCCAAAGTCTCTGTAAATTTTCATTTAAATTAATAATTTTAAAAATTCATTTTGTTGTTGAGACTATACACAGTGAAATACACAATTCAACAGCTTCTACAAGTACCACAGAGTGACACTGAGTACACTGTTCTTGTGTACTGATCTCATCCTCCTCTTTTGAGTCTTTCTGCTTCAATTAACATAAATTCACTGGCCCCCAAGATTAGGTTCCCAGTTAATATTTTGAGTTGCTGTTATCAATTTGATACCATACATGTAGTTCTTAAGAGAGTATGGTTTTTTTTGGTATGAACAGTAAGATTTATTGAGCTGTATCTTAGTACAGACGCTGGGGCTTGCCCATGGTGCTCTTGATATACAAAGCCCGAACATTCTGCCAATTCTTCTTTAGCAAAGAAACCAGAAAGTTGACAGCCAGGTGGATGTTGTAAACAAGTTCATCATCAGTCATCTTCACATGGCCAAAAGCCACTGCCAGACACAGGACCTTTTTCATCTGGAATTTGATGGTGGACTTCACCTCGTCTACTTTTGCCACCATGTTCTCATTGTGGGTCAGCAGAGAAGGGAACTTGTCAGCCTTACTCAGCCCTGGACCTAGGATTCTTGGGATCTGCTTGATCAAGGATTCAGAGGCCAAAAAGGCATCATACTTCTTGGCCAGCTTTTTGACCAGTTTTCTTATTCTTGTTGAGTTTTTTCAGCGCTTCGATGTCCACGTGGGGGATATCCACAGCCTTGGCTTCATCACAGTGCTGCTGATCCCCAAGAACACACACAGAGAACTTGGGGTGTGGGGTGGACTTAAGCCTGACGGTCCCAGAGAAACGCTTGTCCTTTTGAGGGTCATAGTTCTTCAAACTGATCTGCAGCTCCACAGTCCCCAAAAACTTTCTGCGTTTGCGCTGGTTCCCGTGCAGGACTTCCCGCACTACCTCGTAGAGGGTGTCGCGAGAGACTTAGCTGCTCTTGGTTGCTAGCGCCGCAATAACTGGAAAAGCAAGAGAGTATGTCAAAGCAGACATTTTTGTTTTTAACTGGTTAGGTTAAACTACTCATCAGTTTTAAGAAAACTTCAGGGTATATTTTTGGTTTAAGGTTTAAAGATTATCTTAAGACAATAGTTTCAGGGGCTCATCTGATTTTAATGGCTCTAAGAACTCTCCAGAAGTCTGGAGTTCATGAGAATTTGAAATTCTGTTCTGTATTTTCCCCCTTTTAGCCAGGATTCTTCTATGGAATCTAGGATCAAGATGTCCAGTAAATAGATAGACCACACTTTGAGAACCACTGCCTTGTATATGAACCTCAGTCCCAAAATGTCACCAGGAACCATTTGATTCTTTATATCTCATGACAAAAACAGCAGTTGTTCTGGAAGAAATTAGCCTTCTATTCCAGATTCTCCTTCTTCCTCTGTTGTTTCTAGGTGAAAGACCAAATACTGTGCCCTGGATGGCTACTTGCAAGCTTTTATGACCCCAGCCCTCCACAACAACACACTAGGAAGCAGAAAAGAAGCAAGCATTAAACATGTTACTAAACCAATTAACAGATGTCCCGTGAAAACATGATCCTAGATCTCTAAACCAAGAAATCAAATCCCTAGATGTTTTCTGTTGTACGTAAGCAGCCTAAGTAGTTATTCTTTCTTTTGCCATTATAGCATGTGTGTATATATATTGTATGTTGTTGTTGATTGCCATCGAGACAAGCATGACTCATAGCGACACTATGAACAAAAGAACTGAAGTTTTCTATATCTTTTCTCAAAGTTCATAGAGTTTTCAGAGGTATGTTGTTTAGGAAGTGGATGCCACTCCTGCTTCAAAATAAAAGATACAACTTTTGCAAATTAAACTTACTTATTGTCAGCAATTATCCCACAGCAATTGGCTATGGAATCCTTAATTTGACATTCCCATCATAGTTAACTTCCACTCATTTCCTCCTTTATACCCTCTTGTTGTGTGTTTTTTTTGTTTGTTTTTGTTTTTTAGGTGCCATTGAGTAGAGTACATAGCAACCATATGAATGACAGATCTGAACTCTGTCCAATTTTGTACCATCCTTATCATTTCTGATATATTTGAAACCACTGGAGCAGTCACTGTCAATAAACTTTGCTTTCTATACCTTTGGCTTTTCTTGTATCTTTATATAAGTGAAATCATGCAAAATTTTGTCTTTTTTATGGTTGACTTATTTTACTCAGCATGTTTTCCAGCTCCAGTCATATTCCAAACAGCATTATTAATAGCTGTTGTTGTGTGTCCTCAAGTCAGAATTGACTCATAGCTGACCTTCCAGTAGGTTTTCAGAGGCTGTAAATTGCATAGGAGGAATATGCTTATCCTTCTCCTGTAGAGTAGCCTTGGATTTGAACCATGTGTGCCTTCAGGATTACAGCAAAAATTCTTACCAGTAAGCCACAGAAGCAAGTAATTTTTAATTAATCACTAAATGTACTGCCAACCCAAAGGTGGCACCTCTCTGCAGTTAAGAGTCCACCAATGGCTCTGCAGGAGAAAGATGGGCAATCTTCTCTTGTGTAATTTACAGACTCTGGAAATCTGCTTGAGGGTCAACGATAGTTGGCTCTAACTCAGTAACACTGAGTTTGAAATTTATTTATTTATTGGCATTTGGCTTTTTTTAACGTTTTTATGATAAGCATTGAACAGATATTCTATCATCTATTTCTCATATAATCCTATGAAAGAAGTATTAACTCCATTTTATAGATGAATAAACTAAGGCTATCTACCTACTACTCTTCACAACCTGAGGTGGAATGCAGCTCTGGATGACTGATGGTCATGCTCTTTCCAGGATGCTGCCTCAAAAACCAAAATATAAAAAAAAACCCACACCTCAAAAACAAAGTATCAAAAGAAATACCTCGCCCATATATATACATATGGTATTATATAGTAGACACTGTAACAATTATTCTTAGATAATAGACCAACCCAAATCAACTCCCATAAAGAACTTTATGATCCTAACTTTAAATCTTACCGGATTCAGCTTGGTTTTCTCTCCCAGACCTTTTTCTTCTGGTAATTTTGAATGCATCCAGTAGAATCGGAAATCCGTCTGCCAGAGAGAAAGGAAGAAAATGAAATACTGCTCCTCTCAAATTCTAATATAAAGACACTCCATTTTAAGTAGCTACTGGATTTATGTCTGCATTTGTATCTGGCTATTTCTGCAGGCTGATGGTTAGTGGGAATCGGTTTTTATGCTGGCTGGTGGATTCTCACTCCTTGATGAGGGTTACAAAATGAATGGTGAAGGTTCTTTTGGCTTTATTTTCATCCCAAGTGGGGGTCAGAGGACTGGACTTGCCAGATGGCTTGGAGATCTCTGGTTCACAGTCCACCAGCATTTGGGTGTGTTGGAATTTAAAAATGCAGTAGGGCTCAAGGGCCAAATGGTAACTGATTTTTGCTATGATGATAAACAACCGTGCCATAGGTTATATCAAACACCATAACTGGCTATCCATCATGGGCAGTGTTTGGTGGAGCTCTCACAATGATTCAGGTTTGAAAGCAGGAGTGGCATCCACTTTCTAAATCACATGGTTCTGGAAACTTTACGGGCCCTTTTAAATGTCGGTTGGGCTGACGGTCTATTGCTATTGCTACTGTCATTCATTTTGGACAAACAGCACTCTTCTGTCAATTTGCTGTACTAAAGTAATCCGGGTTTGCTGTGAAGCTGAACCTTGTGTCATTGGGGTTCAAATGCCATAACGCCTGCCCATGGTGGACACTGTTTGGTGGAGCTCCTAGTTTTAAGACAAGTTTGGAAGCAGGAGTGGCATCCAATTCCTGAATCTCATGCCTCTGTAAGCTCTAGGAAACTGGAGAAATGACAATGGTTATTGACAGGCCTTTTGATCACAGGGTCACTATGAATTGTCCTCAACTCAACAGCAATGAACAACAACTGGATTTAAATAGCTAAATACTTCTGTGAGAATACCAGAATATCTATTTGTGTTTTATTGACGTTGTGTGGTGGTAGTCTTAAAAGTTGGCTTTTTTTAGCCATTACATTTAGCCCTTCTGGTCTCCAGCTACCTTTACTACAGGCACATGGTCTTGCAAATAATCAACAGCTATGGGACTAGGGTAAGAGAAAGAGTGCTTCCCACACTGAGCAGAAAGACTTGGGGTGAGCCAAGACTTGAGGGAAACTAGAGCAAGGCCCTGGTGAAAGCGATACACTGGTGGCAAAACCCTGGTGATGGTGGTGGAGAGACTGTGGCATTCTATGTGGACAAACTGTGGCAAGGTATAAGCAAAGGAGCCCTGAGATAAAGGCCAAAGTTAAAGGTTTTTGCTGTTCTTGCTGAATGCTTAAAGGAAAAGCTGACTTACAACTACTCTGAGACAAACCTTGTTGGATGATTTGGATTTAACTGCTGAACTGAAACCAGAGCCTGGACTAACTGAGGAATTATACCTTGGAACTTGGGCTAAAAGTTGGATTTGTATTGGGCCTTCTTTTCCTCCTCTACTCTCCAACTTAACTTCCTTAAAAACCCCATTCTCATTCATTGAAATTAATTAAAAAATTAAAAAGAAAAAAAAAAGGAAAGAAAAAAAGAAACCTCACCCATTCTCAGTACCATGACAGTGAGTCTTTGAGTCAACAACAAATAAATTTCTTGCTGCAGGTGGGGCTTTTATTCCCTCTGGCCCTTTCAGAGAGACGCTCATGGCCCTATGTCTTATGTCCCATTTTCTACTCTTTTGTCACTACGCAAAAGCATTTGACTGTGTGGGTCCCAATAAACTATGGCTAACACTGAGAAGAATGGGAATTCTAGAACACTTGATTGTACTTATATGAAACCTATACCTAGACCAAGAAGCTGTTGTCTGAACAGAGCAAGGACCACCACATGGCTTAAAATGAAGAAAGGCATGTGTCAAGGCTGTATCCTTTCTCCATGTCTGTTCAATCTATAAGGTGAACAAATAATTTGTGAAGCTGGACTTTATAAAGAAGACTGAGGTATTGGGATCAGAGGAAGATTCATCAACCACCTGCATTATGCAGCTGATATAATCTTGTTTGTTAAAAGTGAGGAGGACTTGAAACACTTGTTCAAAAAGAGCAAAGACTACAGCCTTCAATATGGATTTCATCTTAACATCAAGAAAACAAAAATTTTCACCACTGGGCCAATAAGCAATATCATGATAGATGGAAAAAATACTGATGTTGTCAATGTTTATCTTATTTGGATCCACAATCAGTATCATCAGTACCAGCAGTCAAGAAATTAAAAGATGTATTGTACGGGTAAAGTCTGCTGCGAAGGACCTCTCCAAAGGACTAAAGAACAATCATGTCAGCTTAAAGACTAAGGTGTACTTATTTCAAGCCATCATTTTTCTTATCATGTGCTATGCAACTGAGAGATGGACAATGCGTAAGCATCACAGAAGAAGGACTTATGCCTTTGAGCTGTGGAGAAGAGTACTGAGTGTCCCATAGACTAACAAAACAATAAACATATATATCTTGGAGTAAGTGCAGCTAGAGTGCTCCCTGGAGGCAAGGATGGTAAAGCTTCATCTCCCATACTTTGGGCATGCTGTTAGGAGAGGTTATTCCTTGGAAAGGGATACCATGCCTGGAAAGACGGAAGATCAGTGAGACAGAGAGGAAGATTCTCAACCAGATGACTGACACAGCGTCTACAGTAATGGGATCAAGGATATCAGAGATGATAAGGATGGCACAAAATAAGGCAGGGTTCAGATCTATTGTTCATAGAGGCACTATGAGTCACACTTGACTTGATAGTACCTAACAACAAACAAATCCTTTAGTAAAATGAGTTGGTGGCACAGAGGTTAAAATACTTGACTGCTAACCTCAAGATTCAAACCCACTAGCTGCTCAAAGGGAGAAAAATGAGTCAGCCTGCTTCCATAAAGATTTATAACCTTGGAAACCCTGTGCGGCAGTTCGGTCCTATAGTGTCACTATGAATCATAATCATACTTAAAGGCAGTAATTTGGTGGGTTTTAAGCATTTCTGTTACTATTGTCATTTACCTTAAAAAACTGTCAAAAAAACCCCCACAAAAACCCAACAGTCATAAGGGCAGGAAGATGTTTAGAAGCCCTGAAGAATTTTCTTGTTAAAAATTGTTGGATTACTGGTAGCAGTAACTCAAAAACCTCATGCCATTGAGTTGGTTCTGACTCGTAGTGGCCCTTCACTGCATTTCTGAAGCTGTAATTCACAAGAGGAAGGGATTGCTCATCCTTCCCTGAGGAGCAGGGAAGATCAAGCCTTTGAGTTAGCAGCACAACTTGTTACAGACTACAGCAATGGAACTTCCTGATAGTAGTAAAGCCAACATTTATTACTGTGTGCCAGCCTCCCCACTAGGGGCTTTACACACAAAATCTTCTTAATCCTAAACTACCCTCAAAAGGATTACACAATCATTATTCTCATTTTACAGGTGAGGACTCTGAGTCTTAGAGACGTTAAGTCAGTTGAAGTGGGCACATAAGTTACTGTGGGGCTAGGACTCTCTAATACATTGTGTTGACCATTTTCTTTAAACCATCGGGATTAGAAATTACTACTCTATAGTTTTAACTTCTCATAAATTACTTTAGTCTCTGAGTTTATTTTAGGTCTTTTCTATCCTTTAAATTATTTTACCTTTTAAAACATTTTATACATACAATCGTCATAGGATAAAAATACAAATTACTTTAGTTACCAAATAGAGTTATAACATATCTTTCATAAGAATGAGAAGAAAATACGATTTAGTAGTGTTGAATTTATGAGTCCTGGGTTTTAGCCTTAGCTTTGCACTTGAATATTTAATCACTGTGACCCTTAGCTTCCATATTTACCTGTAGAAAATAGGAGTATTTAGCTATCAAGTTGTTTTAAGGGATATAATTAGATAATAATCACAAAGTGCTTAGTAATGCAAATCTTGGCTGTTATTATTTGAACAAACTGTACCTGACAATTCCTAAGTACCACTACCTGATTTGGAAATCCAGCTTGGGGTGATAGCTATGTAAAGTTGCTTATGGTGATAACCCATAATTCATACACTTTAGCTTTTATCAGAATCACCTGGAGGTTTGTTAAACAATAGGCCCCAGCCCCAGTTTTTGTTGTGTTTTTTTTTTTTTTTTTGGTGTTTTTTTTTAAAAGCTGTAGTTCTTTTTATTGTTATTGTCAATCAGCTAAGACTGACAGAGAAGATTGCCCCTCTTCATGTGGAGCATCTGGTGGGATCAAAACACCTGCCTTTGGGATTGAAGCACAACTTCTTGCCACTAGGCCACCAGAGCTCCAGGCCCGCAGTTTTTGACTTGGTAGATCTGGGAATTTCTAATCGTTCTCTGATTCCTGGTCTCTTTTTGTGTACCATCAAGTCAGAACTGGCCCACAGCTGACCTGGATTCCTGGTCTAGGCACCATATATTTAAGAATCACAGTGATAAAAGTGCAAAAGGCAACATCAAACCCCCTGATAAAGGGAGTACCAAGCTCTCTAACTAATAAACATCTATCTAAGAAACAAGACCGAGACAGTGATGGTGGGAGTACAGCTAACAGGGACAGTGGTTTGTGGCGCTGACCCTGTCTCTTCTTGACAAATCCCACTGTCACTTTTAAGAATCACCAGGGTGGGGGGGAAGGGACGTGGGAATTGTATACTAATGAAGGAATTTTTTTTTCTCTTCGGAGGGGGAAGCGAGCTGGTGGGGAGGGGTGGGCAGGGAGAAAAGTGCAGCAATGAATGAATGGAAATCCAAAACCTCTGTAAATGTCTATTAAAATTAATAATAATAATAATAATAATAATAATAATAATAATAATAATAATAAAGAATCACCAATAGGAAAATAAAACTATGAGATACGGTGAAACTTGTGAGTAGAACACTAGGCACTCTCCTCACCTGGGAAGTTTCCTTCCAGAGCTGGCCCCTCAGAGACTTGAGACTTTATGTCCTACTCAGGAGGCCTTGCCATCACCTTCAGGATCAGAATTTGATTGGTGAAGGAGTGGATGGTAAAGGAATCTATGAGATGGTGCCTCTTACTCCACCTTCTCTTCCTCGTGCCCAACTGTACAAGGTGATATCCTCCCTCTCTATCTACCACACCTTCCTGCCGCCAATCTTCCCTCATTCAGGAGCAAGGTGAGGGCAACTGCAGCTGCTACAAAGTCCCAGTCGGCCCCTCTGCCCTGTTTCTCTCTGCTCTCTTCAAGAATTAAAAAAAAAAAGAAAAAAAAGAATTGCTATATTTCCCTAAGCCCTTTCTCATATTTTTAAAAAAAGCTAATTTAAACACACTTAAAGATTAAGATGCAAAGAGCATTAGATAATGTTCTTGATATACCACATCCTGTACACACTAAGAAACTGGTCACGTACTAAACCCACAGGCTGAGTTGCTTCCCCAGGAGAGAAGAGTGGAGTACTAATACTTACTTGGCAGTCATAAAAAGGGTGTCCCCGCCAGCACATCACATCCAGAATATAGTAGGTCTGGTTTACTTCACTGTAAATGCAGTCCAGAATGGTGTAGTCTAGAGACATAGAGCAGAAAGTCAGTACAAGATGCCCTTCCCATAAGGGTTCCCTCTGCCACCATCCAGGCAGCCCCACCTCCCAGTGCAACAATTCCAGTGCTTGCAGGAATGCCTGAGGACTTATTCGGGGACAGTTCTCTCTTTCTGATGACCTGGTACGTACAGCTTATGCACAAGAAAGATCAACATAATGCTTCAGCCAAGTCAAATTCTGAACTCTTATAATTTATTCACCTTAGAGCTCGAGTTTGAAAGCAATTAATCTTTAGTTTTCATTTACCACAACTACTTCTGCATTCCTATTATAGACATGTCTTGTGGGGAACATTTAACTATAAATAATCCCTGCCTGTAAGATAGTGACAATCCAGTTACAGAGATAACTGGATAAAGATGGTCATCTTTTCTCTGTAACTGGATTACCAGAACAGAGGACAAATCAAGATCTGAACTGTACAGTACATACTAAGAGCAACAGAGGTTTCAGAAAGAGAAGGCTGACTAAGAAAATGCTTCATGGAAGAGTTGGTTTATGAAGAGAGCCTTCTGGGGTCAACATCAACTAAAGACTATTTCAGGGGAAACTGAAGATCATGTGGCGGCAGGAAGGCAAGCAACTGAACACAGCTTGGAGGGGTACTGAAAGCAGGGGAAAGAAGTGAGGAGAGGTGAGTCATAGGTCAACTTGTGATGGGGTCGAAAAGGCAAGAGATGGTTCAGCACATGGGTTGTCTGAGCAAAAAGGGAAGATTTCAGGTGGAGGCCAAGCTGTGCCACCTCCTCATCTATTGACTGTTGGCAAATTATTCCAAATTCCATGACCTTCTCCTCCTCAGCTGTGTTCAGGTAGGAGGAAGCAGCTAAGGTGAGGACAATGGTGAAAAAGAAAAAAAGGGAATTTGGCAGAGAAGGCCCAGTGACAGCTTGCTGTATCATCATTACACCTGGCATTCTCTGATGGGCCTTTCCCCAAGGAATGGCATCTGTCACCTTGCAACTTTAAGTCCACAGGAAAGGAATGTGACCTTATTTCAGGAATTCATTCTCAAAGTGGGTCTTTAAACAACTCAACAACACATAACTTACTATTTCAACAATTAAAATAAATGTAGTAAGGAGGTATTTTACCTTTTCCTGTTGTTGAGCTTCGCTTGTTGCCTCCTGGCAGAAGGGAGGGAAATCTGTTGACACGGTAGCCACTCTTGGTATAGGCACTGGTAGAACCCTGTGTGGGGAAAGCCATCATTCCCATTAGGCACCTAACTCTCCCAACACTCCTGCTCTCTCATTCTGCAATGTCACCTCCCAAACATAGCTCTCAGGAAATCATTTCCTGTAGGAAAGATGAGTTTCTTCCTGTTGTTGTTTTTTTTGAAGTTTTTTATTATTACTTGAGTGAAGGTTTACAGAGCAGCTTGGTCTCTTTCCCATTGCCACAGACTCAAAACCCACTCAAAGCTGACCCTCCATTAGTTTTCCAAGGCTGTAAATCACATAGGAAGAGACTAACCACTTTATCTTGCAGAACCGCTGGTGGATTTGAACCACAAGTTGCAAGACCTTTGAGTTAAAGGTGCAACTCCCTATGGCTTATGCTACACTAGAGCACCCTATTTATACATTTTTTGGTATTATGACATAATTACAATTCCCACTTTGTATCATCACTCTTCCCACCATCACTCTGTGGTTCTTATTTCCATTCATCCCTCCATCCTCCAGTGTGGTACTGTTCATGTGAGTTGTGACTCTTAAAGATGAAATTCAAAAGGCAGCTAAGGGCCACCGTCTCAGCGGTTCCACCAGTCTCTGTCAGACCAGTAAACCTGGCCATTGCTGTGATTTCAAGTTTGTTTTACATTATCTCACACTCTTCTCAGGGCTTTTTTTTTGTGATCCCTTGCAGGAAAGAGTTTCATGCCCACTCCAGGCAAAGCTGCTGTGGCAGATAGCAATATGGAGTGCTAAGCACCCACACCCCACTCTGACACACACGTACACACTCCTTATCCATGCACTGAACCCCAAAGTCACACCCTGGGTGAGGCAATGCACAGACCAGACCACTTACCCTGGAGGCCACAATCAGAGCTCTCTTTCCAACGGGGCACACAACCACAATCCATTCCTGTCCCAAATCTGAAGGGACATCAATTAACCATTCCGAAAGCATCAACTGGAAACATAAGAAAAAGGCATTAAAACATTAGCAGGGGTGTGTTGCTCATATGTCTGCAATGACAAAGTATTCACCTCCTATAGATGTGCTAGTAATTCACAGAGTAAGGGGAGAAAAGGCTGACAGTGGGAGATCTTCACCCCACTTGCTCATTTTCTGCTATAGGGATGGAGGTCATTGTGAACTTTAATTTCACTCCTCACCTTTATGATCCTTATCCATATCTATCTTTACAAATTCCTTTCTTGTACTGTAGTGATGGACCCTCTTCCTTTCCTTCCCTCATCCATGCACCTACTATTGTTATTATGTTCCAGGAACTGACATGAATAAGGTCTCTAGCCTTGAGATGCTCTGATACAAGATCATTTCCCAACCCAGCATTCCAAATATCATCCTATAGGTTGTTGTTGTTATCTGCCGTCAAGGCGCCTGCAAGTCATAGCGATCCTATGTACAACAGCCCCTAAACCCTGCTCTATCCTGTGCCAATCTCACTGTCTCCAACACACCCACCCTCATTACCTCAGTCACTGAATCAATCCACCTCATAGAGGGTCTTCCTTTCCTATGCTGTTCTTCCACCCTCAAAAGCATGATGTCCTTCTCCAGGGACGGGTTCCTCCTTACAACATGTCCAAAGTATGTCAGACGAAGCTTCAGAATACTTATCTCCAAGGAGCAGCCTGGTTTAACCCTCTCCAGGATGAACCTGTTTGTTTTCTTAGCAGTCCATGGTATATTCAATATTCTTCTCCAACACCACAGCTCAAAGGCATCAACTCTCCTTCTATCCTCCCTAGTCATTGTCCAGTCTCTGATGTATAGCAAGTGACTGCAAAGACCATGGCCTGTATCAGGTGCATCTTAGTCTCCAGATGTGTGAAACCCAATGTATATGAATGAAACGATATGAATTTTGTATGCAAAACAATATAAAACTTTTAAAAGTTTTTGTTTTTTAAGATTGGCTAGCAAGACTTTTTTATACTATAGGATATTAGGAAATTTGCCTTTTCAAAAAAAACAGTGCTGTGGTGAAACATATTTGAGAAAACTAACTCTTCCACTCAAGGTTCGTCCACTCTATATGATTCTGTCCCATCAACTAATCTCTCTCACTTAATCTTTTTTTTTCCTCTCTCTCTTCATATTCCTTTCCCTAAGCCCCAAAAGTCTTGCTCTCCAATCTTAAAATTAACAAAATAAAAAACTTTTAAAAATTTTATATTGGTTTGCATACAAAATTTGTATATTTTCATTCAAACATTGGGTTTCACACATTCCTTAATTCACATTGTGTTTCATGTGATCATTCCCATACATTGCATTTTATAAAACCAATCACCACTGGTCAATGTACACTCTCACCCTGTCCTTTCAGCTTCATACTGGATCTTTCCTAATTCCTTCACCCACTTCCTCCACCCACCAAACTCTGTGATCCTGTGATTTCTCTCCTCTCCTCTGCCACCCCTTCTCACTAGTTATCCTTCTATTTTTATAATAATGGTCTTATGCAGTAATTGTCCTTATGAACCTGGGTTAGTTCACTTAGCATAATGGTCTTTATTTAGTCTCTCGCATGCTATATAGTGGTTTTTGTTTTGGGGGGTGGTTTTGATAGTTAAAGACAGAGAAAGTTTATTAAGACTTCCTTTATAAAGGAACTTTAGAAAGAGGAAAGTTTACAAAGGAAAGCTCATTAACGAAGAGAGAACTCTTACATGATGAGAGTGGTCTACCTTACTAGAGGTGGGAATAGATGCTTTCCTCTTCTGGGGCCTTAAATTATATATAGGATTTGGTACTTTTTGGTTCCACTTGAATACTAGCACCTTGTGCCTACAGGATTGTTGTTTTTTTAAATCACTGCTCCTGAGTGCTTTATAGTATTCCTTAGTGTGATATACCACAATTTCTCAAACCATTCGTTTGTTGTTGGACATTTGAGCTGTTGCCATTTTCTTGCTATTGTGAATGATGCTGTTATGAACACTGGTGTAATAGCAGTATAAGAAAAATCTATATAGAGCAGCTTATTTCTGTACCAAGTTTGTTTAAAATTTTAAAAAATAGTAATACATTACAGATATACTTTAGAATTATTGTGCACCTATGCATCTGACTCATTCTTCTCCCTCATATAAAATTTCTGTGAAATAAAAAATAAAATTTTCTAAAAAACAAAAGACAAATATCCGTTTGTGTCTCAGTTCTATCTTCCTTGGGGTACATTCCTAGAAATTAAATAGCTGGGTCATGGAATTTCTACGTTCAACTTTTTGAGGAAATGCCAAATTACCTTCCAGAGTGGTTTTACCACAAAAATAAAAATTTTTGTAACTGGGCTCTATGAGGAGAATTGTGGCATCAGGATTGGTGGAAGATCTATTAACAATCTGC